ATACTGAAACATGGGCAATCATATGTGGAAATATACTCATTACTGAGTTGATGTTTGGAACTTTGATTTCTGGGGAGTTTGAGTTTGTTGGAGGTGTGGTCTTAAACTTTTGATCAGCTGTAAAACAGCCTGTTTCAGTTTACTCGCTGTTTTCAATAAATTGCATGCTCAAAAGAATGTTATGTCTCACTTCCATTTCTTCTTGTTGCATGTTGGAGCTCTACTTGGAACCTTGTTAAGATCCAACCATGCAAAATATGATTTTTCCCATTTTTCCAAGTGGTCATAAACCTTTGATTGGGACTGTAGTATGCAAGGAAAAAGCAGAGTTTGTACAATTATAATGAGCTTGAAAGTTGAGATTTTGTATAATTATCTTTATTCTTAAGCACAGTCTGAACCCTCTAAGCCAAACCTTCTTGTAATTCTTTTTAAGTAGTCTTCAGGAATCGTTCTCCAGGTTTCTTGAAGGACATTCAAAGCTCTTCTTTGGAGTTTATTGCCTTTTTCTCTAGGTCTGGACTCTGGGGAGGCCAATCCATGACTGATAGTGTCAGTCTATAGTGTCAGTCTTTTCCTTCATCAGGATGGCTTCTTGACATGCATCCTTTCGGGTCCTGTGTAAGGCCTTTGCTGGATGTTTTCATATTTTCTATGGTCATGACTTCAGATGTTCTTCTGTTGTAGATATTGTTTTTTAAAATCCTGCCACTGCAGTCTGAAGAAAAAACTTTGAAAGACCTTCAAAGCATAATTTTTTCTGATAATTCTCTGTTTCTTTCCTTTTAGAAATATTTTGTCTATTTTCTTATTACTAATTTTCTGTTCATGCTTTCTCATAACGGTATCAGCCTATTAAGATATTAATACACACAAAAACATCGTCATCAGTGTGATCCAGTACCATGTGCCAACATTGGCAGCAAGAAACTTGAATGCATTGCGAAGCAGAAGTTGGAAAAGGAACAAAAACAACAAAAGAAGGATGAAAGATGTGTTTCTACTTTCTACTTAGAAACAACTGTAAATATTGCTGAGGCCAGAGCCAGCATTCACTAGCTGCTACCCACCCCAAGCCAACAGCACAAAAAGAAAAAGCTAGGAAATGCAGTTGCTGGCCTTTCACAGCTGTCTTCAGAAATTATACGTTTGGAGTGTGCAGTAGTCTCAGTGCATGAAGATTGAGAGTGACAACTGCAGACTTACAAAAGAGCTGAAACGAACTTCTGCTGTAAAGACCAGGCCAGTGGGAAAATAACAATAACATGTAAACAGTTTTGCTTCGTTTACATGTGAATGCAAATCTCATTCAATTTTCACGTCAATGTTATTTATATTGTGCCAAATCACAACAACAGCTGACTTAAGGAGCTTTATATTGTAAAAAGCAAAGACCCTACAATAATAGAGAGAAAACCCCACAGTCACACTACCCTGTATGAGCAAGCTATTGGCGACAGTGGGAAAGAAAAACTCCTGTGGCAGAACCAGGCTCTGGGAGGGACAGCCAGTTGAGGTTGAGGGGAGGAAGATGGGACAAAAGACACGCTGTGGAAGAGCTACAGATAAATAATAACTTGCATTTAAATGCATAGTAATTGAAAACAGGTGGCCCAGCATCCTAGGCCTATTGCAGCGTAACTATGGGGGGATTCAGGGTCACCTGATTTATCCCTACCTATAATCTTTATCAAAAAGAAAAAGCTTAATCTAAACAGTAGAAATCCAAACCCAATTCAAGTAGAAAGAGTGGCTGAGGGTCATCTAACTGACCAAGAGCTCTGACTGAATATCAGCTTGTCCTTCTGTTCCTCATAGGAAATGCCTTCCAGAGGGGGAGGGAAAGCACAAAATGAAAAATAGCAACAGGAATGACTTCATACTCAAGTTCACAGTCACTTCAATTCGCCTGGTGAACTTACCCCAGCAGAACGAAACCTGAATATGACAACACCCAATTTCCTCTTGTCCTCCCACATACCCCAGCTTAATTGTAGACTAGATCCACCCCGCTTAACGTTTCTGGCCCTCGTAAGCCAACCAAAGTCCGCTTTTATAAAGCTTTCATTAGCTGCCGATTACCGTCAGTGCCTGCTGGGGCTGGTAGGCTTTGGCCTTCATTAACAGGCCTGAGTCATACAAATGACTGTATGAGCCTGTGTGCACTATGTTCAGACAGCCAACATCCCGCTGAAGAAGAGATAAGTATTTATTTGATGTGTGCTCTATTCTACTCTGCCCCAGCCCATTTTGTTTTCGTTCAATTCTTCCAAAAAGCGTAGGCTGCAAGTGTCAAGTGAAATGTCGCAGCAACAAAATCCCCTGACAGCATGTCATGCTTTTGTCTGATACCAAATGGTAGTTTTTGTGTTCTGCCTCATTCCATGGGCGATAATTCTTTGAAAAAAATAATTCACTGCCACACTGATGACATCTCTGCTTGATGCCCTGCAATCCACTCTAAACTGCCTGGCAATGTTCATTTCTTTACTAACTGCAGACTCTCTGAGAAAGCAGCATGTAAGCAAAGACAGGTAGCAAATTAAAGGAAAAAAAAAAAAGAAGACGTCTGCCCGCACTGCAAATCAGTACCAAGTTGTCAGTGACCACCTTCATTATGTGATGAAGCACATCCTTCCTAATGAGAACATTTTTTTCCAGGATGTAACGCCTTTGTTCACAGGACATAATGGGTCAATGAATGGTTTGACAACGATGATCATCTTTTGACCAACATGTTCAACAGCGCTCTACTTGGACCATCAAAGCACCACATTACACAATGTCTTAGAAGGCTGGTGGGTCCATCCCTCCAGCAGTGTCCTAAAGGCTTGGACAATCAATACCAAGACACCAGTACGCTGTTTTGATGGCACACGCTGGCCCAATGCTTTAAAACTTTATTTTGTCACTGGTGTGCATATTCCCAATTCAATCCTAGATAAAAAGTTAAAAAGGCTTATTTTATTTAATGACCTGCCCTCACGTTTTAGTTAGATATATGACCAAGCCAAAAACGAGACTTCAGGGAGATGAAAGATCTATGTGAAGCTAGCTATTACAGACACCTTAGTAACGTTATTTATTTTAAAATCACCTTCTTGAATCTTCTACATTATGTTGAGCTGTATTTGTGTCATGCTGCACAGTTGGAGAAGAGCAGCTCGATTTGCCAAAAGCGTGGAGAGCTTTTTCTTTTTCCTTTTAAAATAGTCCAAGCATCTGCGTCTCCTCTCACCCCGAGATATAACTCCATCTCTCTAGCATAACACATGCTAATGGACCATAATGCAACTAATGGGCTGCATCAACCACACTAATACAGACACTTATGTTAACATTATGATGAATAGAAAAGAAAAGCCCGATGGAGCAAAAGGCTGCACAGGTTTTGTCTCAGCAGGAGCGGGAGCAGCAAACAAGAGATTTAAAGCAACAGGATACTAAATTGAATGCTTTGACCAAGGAAGAGGGAAATGTGCCACTTTTTTTAAAAAATTGTGTTGTGTTGTTTCCCCCAACAGGACACATTTACCTGAACCTACACTTGTTCTGCTTTTTTTTTTTCAGGAGTAGCGGTGAGGAAAGGACCCAAATGTAGAATATCAACGACAAAAAAAACAATTCCAAAAGGATGATCAGAGTCCAAAGAAACACACACACACTACCGAAAATACAAAGCAACAAAAGAGAAAAAAAAAAAGATCCACAAAAAAGGTTAATCACAGGACCGCAAACAGAGAGGCGACGCACAGGACTATATGTACACAGAGCACTAATTAGGGAACAGGACACAGACGAGGGCGAAACAGAGGAGGAAGCAATTAGCAGGTGAAAACACTCAGGGAATCAGGGAAAGAAACAGACAGGAAGTAAAAAGTACGACAAGCACACTAAGAAAAGTAATTAGCAAAACAAACTGCGAGGTGAAGACACAAACACAGAGGGATCAAAGACAGGGGAGCACTGGAAAAAGTTAAATATTCAAATTACAACAGGAACCAAAAGACTTATATTACAATATTACAGAAACTCAGTGATACTTATTGACTAATACACACATGAGAACATTCTTATCCTGCACAAAAAACAAGTGCATATGCAAAGCTACCATTCGGTTTATGAAATATGCACACCGGCATATTTTCTTCTTTCCACTGTGCACATGTTAATAAATCAGAATCAGTTCAAACCAAGAGGCTTGTGCAATCTCCTTACAATCAGCCATCTGCATTACTGTCCAGCCCCCATTTTTCTATATAAGGAAACATGTTTATATCCACGTGAAGCTGAGCAAGTGGTGATGAGAGATGTTGTAAGAGAAAAGCCTGCACTGGACTTTAAAAACTGATACAATCGTGTACAATGAGGAAGCCAAAACAGGCTTTTTAAAGAGTCTCCATAGGAATGATGAAAAAAAGTGAAAATGCGTTCAGGCTGACATAACAGAGGTTCTGAATATTGCTTCCCCTGTGCTTCTAAAAAGTGAAACATGTGAAAAACAAGTTTGCTCATTGAAGCTGACATGTAAAAAAGACTACATGAAGAAGAAGAAGACGGGTAGAGCACATAATCTGTCAGCCCGAGATGAAAACTTCTGTGGAATAGTGCCATGAAATCAGACTGTAAGTGATGATGTCCATGTTCCAATTTTTAATGAAAAACAAGATCAATTTAAAGGTTAAGACCTACACTTTTCCATTTAGTATTTTGTTTTCTTTCACCCTTCTTTTGTTCGTAGAAATATAATTTAATTGTTCTTGTAGGCAAAAGCTTATCATTAGATAAAACGGTCAGGAGGTGCTTGTCTTCACACAGTGAGCAAACTCCTGGGCTAAATGTTACCTACCTGTATTATTAAAACTGGTTGCTACTACCGATCAGAAAATGTTGTAAAGAAATCGAATTAATACCAAGAACTTTCCACATTTCTTCTTAAATAAAAAAAAGTCTGTGTTTTAAACAGCACACACAGTTTCTTGTTTCCTGACAGTCCTTACCTTGCAGAGCCTCCTTGGCTCGATCCAGCTCCTGTTCCTTCTGCGCCAGCTGCACACGGAGTTCAGTGGCAGAGAGCACGTCAGCCGAGCAACCTCCCTGGGTCTCCTCCAGGTCCTTATTCAACATGTCCTTCATCTGCCGCAGCAGGTGCACCTCTTCCTGGAGCTGGGCCACCTCTTCACGCAGCAGAACTGCAATTTGCAGAAAAGGAAGAGAGCTTTACCACAACGTTGCCCAAATTAGTGCAATTGTGAATCGCTGCACAGTTTTAACAGTGAATATGCATTTAAGCCAAAATAAAAGTGTTACTTCAGCAGAGAGAGAAGGGTCACATGCTTGCTGGAATTGGGTCTCATACTGGTGCATCGGCTTTGAACAGCTACATGACTGCAGAAATTGTTGTGTGTGAAATGCTAAACTGATTTAACATCACCACGGGAGGCTGCGGTTTTATTTGTTATTGAGATAACTGCAGAGCCAAATTACTGACAGTAATAAGCATCACAGAGATAGGTGCGGTCCATCAGATGAGTAGAGACAAGGCACTGATTGTGTAATGAAATTTGTCTTTGAAGTCGTCTGTTGAACCTTCTCTGTGTTGACAGGATTGACGAGTAAAGGCGGGAGGAGTACTCATTTAATATTCATTGAATGGTGCTTTAAAGTACTCCTCCCTGTCGTTGTGACAAAGACGAAAAACGACAAAATGAAAAACAACAGCACAGACTATTGTTTTTTGTTTTTTTGTTGTTTTTTTCCCTCGCAATTTGACTCGGGGTAAAAAATTTTTAAAGTGCTTTCAAAGCACCAGCAGCAGTGAGAGGATTTCGCTCCCTTTTAAAACAAGCCACAACAGACAAATGTCACACTTCAATTTTTCACATTAAAACGAAAAAATAAAATCCAAAATTGTGATTCTTGGCACACTGAACGCGGGTGTCTAGGTGGAGCATATGGAGCGTCATTTATAGTCGGATGAGTAGAGTCATTCTGCTTAATTTCATGCATCCTCGGGGCAAAGGGGGAGGGTGGGGGTGAGGGGAACTGCTTTACCCCATCTCGTGCAGTTCCAGTACCAAGTGCCATGCATAAATCACACTTCATACTCTGAGACTCCAGCTCCAACTCACACTGAAAAAATAAAATCTGAGATGAATGGGACAACTAAGGATGACAAATGTCCTCTGTATTTCCTGGTCATTGTTGCACATTTGAACCAAGAATTTCAAAGATGTAATAAGTGATGCTTTTCTAAATTTAAACAGCATTACAAAAAAAAGAGAAAAAAGAACTGCATTCAGTCAAGGTTAGGATTTCTGGTCATGTAAAATTTGAACGTGGAGAAGATGATTGCAAGTCCCTTAATCAGAACCTAATCAGAAGTTTCCATGTGGAAGCGAGGCAACTGTCTGTTATCTAAAGAACGTGCTTCTATAATCTTGTTACAGACAATAGCTCTAAGTCACTAGATGCACAGTAACAGCACTCTGCACAATGTGCTTTTAAACTGTCTTTTTTTAAGGCATTTAGGCCTGTTTGTCATAGCATTTTATATTGTTTTAAAGCATTTTAAATTCTCATGGTATTTTCATCTCTTAAGTAGACTGTTTTATACTTTATGTACTTAAATTAATTGAGCATGTGTGCGGTGCGACTTTCTTTCATTCAACTTCAAACCCTGTTTGGACCGGATCAATTAAATTAGGTGGTATATTATATATACTATATATATATATATGTACCTATGTTTGAAATTACAGAAGTGATTGCTTGAGAGACAACAAATTTTGTTATATGTGTCACATCCACGGACAGTAACATTATTACAAACACAATGCAATGCCTCCAAATAAAACCATACTGCGTTTAAATGCTGCCATAGTGATTCCTGACATCAATTATTTCTTTTCATTTACTTTTTTGTGATTAATGCATTCCATCCATCCATTCGCTTCCGCTTATCCTTTTCAAGGTTGCTGGTGTTAAACTGCATCATCCCCTTCTGCACCCATACCTATGACTGATTTCTTACATAAGGACACTAGAGACCTTCAAGACTACAATAAACTATGACAACAAACCATAAGAGAGGATATGTAAGCCTTGCTCCGATACATTTTCGCGCAGCATGGATCACTTTAGGTCCCATCTTGCCTCCCCTGAAACTACAATTAGTCCCACTGCTTTGCCCGTATGACATTTACCTGCTTCCCAGGCCTTTTGACTCCATTAATTTGATCACTGGCAAAATGTAAAGTGGCTGAGGATAAGTGCTGCCCGCTAAATAACGAAAATGAAATGTAAAAGGGGTTATTAGGAGAAGGGTCGAGAGAGAAACGTTGGCGAGTGGAGTGTCATTACACAGAGGTATACTTAATGGACCTGATAATAGAACCACATTTTACGGAGCAACTCAAGCAGCAACACCCTTATTGGCAATCCGAGAACTGTCCCGTTCTGGAAACAGCCGAGCGCAAGATACAGTTCATGAGTTTTTAAAAATCCTATAATAGCCACAGACTCAGTTTAATTTCTTATTCATTAAGTTTGCATGTATTGATTGTGCAAAGGCAGCAACACAAGGAGTTCTATATAATGGGCAAGTATATTGAAATTGTGTGTTCAGTCTCCAATAACCAACCCATAAATACAGATCAACATTCTAATGATCTAATTCAATCATAGTTATACATTATAGATGGCATCTGAGGATTAATATAGTTTATATGTATTTTTTGCTTTTAATTAATTTTTTTTTTTTAATTGGGAATTTTTTTTTTCTTCTTCAAATTGGAAAAAAAAAGTGTTTTAAACAGATGTTATGGAACAACATTGTAATGTAGGCATAAACAAGATGTTTAATATGAGGTATAGCCTCTTCTGGACATGATGCAAGCAGTCACCCATCTGTGTATGGACTGAACAAGTATCCAGATCTGCTGTTGCTCAATTGCTCAACAACAGATTTGAGTGCAGCCTGCAGCTGCAGTGCAGTAGTCATTGATGGTGGCATCTGATGATCACGTCGACCCAGGATTTCCCCGGCACGTTCAATTGGAGACATACTGGGACTAAATCCTAGCCAAGGAAGTCTGGATATACTCCTAGTTTAGAAATGTCTGTGCTACTCTGGCAGCAAGAAGGGTCCATGTTGGAGCACCTCATAACCATTCAACTCAGAGATAGCCCTCTTATGGACATAGAAGGCTGGGGCTACAGTTCATATAGGCATATAGGCAAGTTGTGCATACACTGTTTTTTGTGTTCAGTAAACAAATCACTAGTTTTCTAAGAGATTACAATGATTTACTGAGAAGCAAAGACTGAAAAAAATATTTCTCGACATAAAACTTATTTCTTTTCTTCCCAGCGCAACATGGAGCTTACACAAATATAGAACAATATAGCTCTCACTCTGACTTTATGAGGTTAAAAACATGTATAGACGTGTGCACTGTATTCGAGCATTCACAATTCCCTATCTTACGCTTAGAGTTGTCATGCTCTAAATTTACACCGTTAGGTTTTAATTTCTATTTTTAAGCAATGTGTTTTTAATGTATTATGTAAAATATTCACCTATACATATGAATACCTTTTGCTTGCCTTACTGAAATCCATGACTGGAATTATTTTCTGTGTGTCCATTATAAAAAACAAACTACCGTATAAGCACGTGCAATCCTGCAGTACTTTGAGTTTACAGCTACATTTTTTTATGTTAGTTAAAATATAATTTGTTGCATATACTATGCTTAGCAAGAAGTAGGTAGTGTTGAGTGGTTTACACAGGTATAAATGAGAAAGACTTTGAGTCTACATTCTACTGCTAATTTGAATTTGGTGAGTTAATAAATCATCATGACATTAAAAAAATACAACAATGGTTACCACCAAAAGGGCGCTTAACATAAAGAGCGTAACAGATATGTTATTGTCTAACCCTGCACTCTGGAGGCAAGCTCAGTGTGGAGTGGAGCACTCCAGATATGACAGGGTTTGAGTGTGGGGGGCAGGATGTGGTGGGGCGAAGACTATCACCTATTTTTCAGTGTCCACATAGCCTCTAGGTTAGCAAAAGGGATCAGGGTAGCGCCGCATTACAATGACAGAGTGGGAGCTTCCTGATAAGTCGTATCTTTTCTGCTCACCACTTCAGGACCCCATACAGCTCTAGGTCCTGCCTGGAAGAGGCGCCAACTTCTATCTCAGGGAAAATGTGATGCCCACAATTTACAGTGTTTATGTATGTGTACATTTAAATTATTGGGGTATTTTAATAAATACTTTTTAATAAAACTTTAGTAACTTTTTTTATATTGTACAAATACATTTGAAAATACTGCATACTTAATTTCTTGAAGTGATTTCAGTGGGCAAATGAAGTGCTTTAAAAAGCATTTAATATGATTTATAGATTGTTTAATAGAAAAGAAATAGCTATTTTTCTTATACAGCTTATTAAAAAAATGTGACCCTCAGCAAGTCCACAGCATTGTGGAGTATAGTGACCCTGAATCAGAAACAACATGATTACGGGTCTGGGGTTTTCAAATCATGTCAATTACATCATCCCACTTAGCAGCATTCACAGTCACATGAAGATATCGCGCACAAAGCTCCACTGCCACACAACTGTCAACAAAAACCTTCTGGCCTTAATTACTTCTCTTCTCAAGCAGGAACAAAGACATACAAACTAAAAACAATGATTCTGTCAGTATGTAGGAGTGTAAGCACAAAAACAGTTTGGCAACACAGAGTTGTTTATTTGAGTTTGGATTGGCGTGACTGTTCCCATCACTGTGACGAAGGACAGCCTCCTGAGATCGACTAAATTGGCTGTTGAGTATCTAATCAGAACGCTGCCCTGCTGACAGTTGATGTGCAACAGGAGTGGAAAGGGAAGGCTGATGAAGAACTGTAATCAGAGTTTGCTGTGTGGGTTTTTTATGTATATTACCAGAGGAAATTTTTAGAACACCCCAATTCTTCCAGTTCTTATTGAATTTCAGTTCGAGTCCAATGAATAGCTTGAAATGGTACAAAGGTAAGTGGGGGATTGCCAGAGGTTAAAAAAAAGGTAAGGTTACACAAATCTTTAAAAAAAATGTACATTTCATAATTATTCAAAGAGGCAGTTTTCAGGGAACAAGAAATGCATTAACAACTTAAGCTGTTCTGCAGCAAC